CTTCATAATGGCTGCCATTCTTATTGGAGTGAGATGGTATCTTAGAGTAGTTTCAATTTGCATTTCTCTGATTGCTAGAGATGGTGAGCATTTTTTCATGTATTTGTTGATTGATTGTATATCCTCTTCTGAGAAGTGTCTGTTCAAGTCCTCGGCCCATTTGTTGATTGGGTTATTCATTTTTTTGTTTAACTTTTTGAATTCTTATACTCTACAGATTTTTTTWAAAAAAATATTTCACTGAGGCCTACTCAGAGGTCATAGGAGTTATTGGGCAAATAAAAGAATTTTAAAGTTTTGATAAAAAGGAAATAGCAGTATCCYTAAGAAGGTGGAAGAGGATAAAATCTGTTGTATGTTTCTCAGAGTTAATGAAGTTAATGTAGCTTCCCAAAGACCCAAATACATATTTTGGTTTTATTTAAAGGACAGTTGAGCTTTTGAAAAATTTTATTTATTTATTTTAATTTTGTGGTGCTGGGGATCAAACTTGGGGCGTTATTCATGTAGGCAGGTGCCGTACCACTGAGCTACATATTCATCCCTGGTAGTTCGATTCTGAATAAGACTTGAAAGAATTTTTTTTTATGTAAATAGGTTATAAGTGAAAGTACATTCCAAGATACCAAGTAGCTAGAATGTGAGATCCTAATATCTCATCATTTGATAGTATAGATAATAAAGTGATATGTAAAAATAAACAACAGAGGTGTGAAAGAAAGTTACCTGTTAGTCTGATTTTTGGTGCTACTCCCGATTGAACCCAGGCCCTCAGGTATGCTAGGTAAGCACTCTACCACTGAGCTGCATGCCACCCATGTTAGTCTGATTTATTCGCATCTTTTGGGCATGTAGATTTTTACTTTATTTGATTTTTGTTTATTTTTAAGAACTTATTATTTTGAAATAATTATAGACTCATAAGAAGTTACAAAAATAGCTGGGGTGGCGCATGCCTGTAATCCCAGCGGCTCGGGAGGCTGAGGCAGGAGGATTGTGAGTTCAAAGCCAGCCTCAGCAAAATTGAGGCACAAAGCAACTCAATGAGACCCTGTCTCTAAATAAAATACAAAATAGGGCTGGGGTGTGGCTCAGTGGATGAGTGCCCCTGAGTTCAATCCCCTTTAAAAAAAAAAAAAAGTTGCAAAAATAGTATAGAGAAGTCCTGTGTACCTGTGTACTTTTCACCTAGCTTCCCCCAGTGTTAATATAACTGTAGCATATTATCAAAACCAGGAAATTGATATTGGCACAATATAATAGCCACAGACTGGACTTGTGTTTCTTCAGATTTTTTCATGCACTCATTTTTATCTGATGTTTGTGTATAGTTCTGTGAAATTTTATTACATGTAGATTCATATAATTAACACACAAGATACGGAAACTTTCCATTCCTACAAATGAATTTCTGTTCTCTTTCATTGTAGTTTTATCATTTCTTGAGTGTTTTATATAAATTTGTTCATCAAAACACTCATTAAATTGTAAAAAATTTAAATTTAAAAATTTAAAAACTCCTTCCCCCAACTGGTCCCTATTCTTGTCCATTTGTTCTAGCATTATTTGTTTAAAAGACTGTCCTTCCTTTGTTCATTTGATTTTGCACCATTGACAAATAGCAATTGTCTACAACTTCCCTGTGTTCATATATAAATATACAACCAGTGTAACTCCACATCACAACTATTAAGAATGGAAAGTTATTACTCCATGTATGTATGTCAAAATATATTCTACTGTCATATATAACTAAAAAGAACAAATTTAAAAAAAGTTAAAAAAATCAATTGTCTATACTTTTGTGAGTTCATTTCTGAATCTTTCTTTCCCTTTCTCTTCCTTCCCTCTCTTCTTCCCTCCCTCCTCCTCCCTCCCTCCCTTCCTTCCTTCCTTCCTTCCCTCCTTCCCTCTCTCCCTCCCTCCCTTCCTCCCTTCTTTTCTGTCTCTCTACTTGGAATTGAATCCAGGGGCTCTCTACCACTGAGCTGCATACCTAGCCC